ACCATGCTGTTGTGGTGAGAAGAAATTTAAGAACAGTAGATAGTCATTTAAACCGTCGCATATCAGGGACTCCATGAGTTTTGAAGGTAATGAACTGTAAACGCAATACTGGTGACCCCAGAGTCTATGTGAAAGCTATAGTCACAACAAAAACGACTTGCCTCCAAACTTTATCTGTTTCTAAACGTAAAAATAACAATTTGATTAGTACATTAATTAAAGGAGTTATAGTCATTAATTGAAACACATAAACATACCCACCAGTATTGCATGTCTTATCAAAATGAATAAAAATTACGTGTCAAACTAATATAATATGATAACAATGTCCTTCAATTGGCGAGTCACATGCAACAGACATATCAGACCAGATTGACGTTGTGAGAGCTTAAGTAACGATTTGACTGGTTAACTATGGATATAACTAACATCCCCCCATGCGGACACCACGTCCAGGCTTCACCGCTGTCCACCGGGACCACAAGTGACCTCTCTAGCAATAGCTTTCGGCCACAGATTACTCGGTGAGCCAGTACTACTTACTAACACTAAATTTCCCAGTTGTAGATTTCTTCTAATGTCCAATCATTTGGATCTCGCCTGAATGGTTGGTAGGTACTCCCTCAACCATCTGTTCCATTAAAGGTTGCCTAGTGGTCACGTTTCTTTCCATATTCTGTCATATAAGCACGTCGAATGATACACCTCTATTAACTAACAATAACTTATCAGGTGTAAGTACATCCGGATTTGTAGAACTATGGTCTACTATGATATTAGTACTGCTCTAATAATAGACCTAATCCTAAATTTGTAGATTTGTCATGATATAACTGCCTAATCTATAAGATCTTACGTGGAAGTCACACCATCGACTACGCCAACTCACTGTATCGTATCAATTACCAATACATGATGAAGAACGAGGTTAGGTTAGAGAAGGAACAATATATTTAATATGAATAGAGACCACGCCTGCATGGCCGAGCCATGCCACTCGATCAACTCCAGTCCATTCAATTCATTCTCCGCGGCTTCTCCATTGTTAGGTATTTCCCCGAGTTAAATATTGAATATCTATTTTCTGAGTAGTCTCGTGTTCACAGCTTTGTGGATTGTTTGGCTATTGTCCAATGCCACTACAGATTATCAAAGCAATTATCTAGCTTTACTAATGATCGATTGTTCAATATCTTTTAAACATTCCACTTTATTCCTAGAGTTCTTTCACTTCTCATAGGTAAACAGATGTCTACATTTCTTTCTATGCAGTCTTCCTCCGAAACTAATTTCGTTAATTCAACGTTGTTGCTGTCCTACTTGATTAGGTCGAAGCCCCTTGAACGTATCTATTCATTCAGCAAAGAATATATTAAATGGTCAATTTAGAGCTATTACTTTGCTGTCTGTATAGTACATTCGTAAAACTTAGCCTCGTTATCTAGGATAGTTCTTTTTAAAGCAAACGTTGCGCAACTTGGTGAGGAGGTGGCAACAAACAAGTGTATTTTCATCCTATAGGTTTCTGGATCAGTTATTATGTCACCTTACGGCCACCATATATATCTAAGGGCATTGCGATCAATTGGCGGGACAATTACTCCATGAAACGTAGCTTCAATATCTGCCGTGAGTTCTATTGTTCGTGGCCGAAATCTGGTGAGGACATCTACCAGATCGTCAGCTAAATCTGGTCCAGAATGAAAATTTTCATTCAGGGACGTCCCGGCGTATTGTGCTACACAGTCGAATACGACCCTCAGCTTATTAGGTTTTTTCGGATGTGAGACAGGTTGGTGCGGAAAGTAGCAAAACAAAAACCTAATGGAGTTCTCTGTAGCCTTTTCGGCGCAGCCCCGTTCTATATACTGTGCCATCACATTAACAAACTCCTTACGCAACCTCTGGTCACGAATGAGCCAGTTCCTCAAGTAATTTAGTCTACTCATCACTAGTTTTCTATTATTAGGTAGGCTTTGTTGGTGACACCAGGAAAAAGCTATTCGGTAATTCCTGTTCACTAACTGCATAGATTCGGACATAGCATTCAAGGCTTTACGATCAAACGTCATGGGCGCGTGGCCATTCGCTACTTCCAAGTCCATCTTATGTAACTGGCCGAATCTGGTTTCTAGTTCATTTTAGACGATAGATAATTTATGATACCCACTGTAAGGTCCAAACAACATCCGCCCCAAAAGTTTTTATAGCGTATGATTTGTTAGACTTTCGCACGCTCTTCTCTTTGTCTCATGTTCCTCAGGTGGGTTGTAGCCAAACAGTACTCTTCGTTGTCAATTCTTGGGAGGATCACGCCGCGTAAGTGATACCACGATGCCGTCTGCGATGTCGCTGGTACCGTCCTACGTAACATAAGTAACATCTTGACTGTCACCAACTTTGGAAGTTTAACTGATGAAGAGAAGTTTGAGGAGGAGAATTCTAGTTGAACCTCTTTACAATGAAATGTGGACTGGCTATTCAGCGATTTTAATAAAAGCGTCTTGGACTCTGTGAAGTGTGATCGACAAACGAACAAATCAATGATATTATGGAATGTCCGCAACCACGTTAACTTTCCTTGACTTTGTATGGCTACGCCTTACTTGTTCACTAACCATAAATTAACGTTCATCACAAAACATTATTCGCTTCGTTGACTCATTTTTCCAATCCTATAGTTACTGTTTGGTATGTTATTTATGTCTCTTCTTTTCTCTGTTTAATAGGGTGTATTGTTTATTTGTTTACTAACAGTGTTATTTATCGTTTTAGAAACAGATGAAGTTTATCAAGCCAAATAGCTTACTTGCTCTGACTTAGGCTAAACCAAGACTATGAGCTCGATAGTCTAGAGAATAGTTAAGTATTAAACCTGTACGAAATTACTTCCTACAGACTCTCCTTCTACACCCGACTTTCTAGCTAGATCTTCTTTAATAAGTGAGGCGTCTGAGCCACTATTTAGGAAAGCGCAGGTCTCCACCAACCTTTCTCCATTTTTTTACCGACACAGGAACTATTGCAAATATTTCTTCTTCCTGTACACGCTTAACACTTTCCTCAGTACAGAGTTGAATATTAATGTGGGCATTACTATTACTATCCCTCTTCTCTACCCGCTTCCTGTGTAACAAGGTGTGGTGTCTCCAGCCATATCCTTCGACGGTACATGGTCTCAGTACTTGACAGTTTATTGCTCTATGGTTCGCCTCCAGGCAAATATTATAAAATATCTTCAATACAAATCCTATCCTTTCATTAATATGCTTACCTTTAAACCTTCTTCGGAAGCGCTAGACGTCATATTGTTAGTTGTCAGGATAGGACGAGTCACTGTGGACTATGATGTAACTTTCAGGTAAGATCTTATAGATTAGGAAGTCACGTCGTGACAATTCTACAATATTGAGTATGGGTCTATTATCAGTACTGATACTGAATAAGACCATAACTCTTTATGTCTTCGACGTCATTGGTTTTATTCGATAAACACTGGTTGACGTTGTTTGGTCAATTATTCTCACAGATCACGAGTGCTCATACCGTGCTGCGCATCCATCGAAACAACTAGCCAGCTCAGACCACACACTTCTCAAAACATCAATTGTCAACCTAAAATGTATTTTGGAACTCCTTCACTTATAATTTCTGGATTGGCTATGTTTGGGATACTAGACTGTAAGGTTGTTGAGGACAAGGCGTTATCAAAACCTAGATATCTGTGACATCTTTAAACTAAGTGAAGTGCTGAATCCCCACGTGCATGATCGTGGATGCGGACTGCTGAGAAGTCCTATATTAGCACAGAATGGCCTTTCGGTGATTCCAAGTCTTCAGTAGGAGTCTTACACTGGTGGTCTCGTGATTTTACTTAAAAATTATCCACTTTTCTCTGACTGGTATAAAGATGGAATGATAAAAACTTTTCCGCGTCGATAAACAATATCCGACTTCTCACGCTCTTATAAGGGTCACAATAAACTGTTCTTGCTTGGGTTAAGTATTTTAAATAAAGATTAGGAGTTCGGAGTTGAAGTTATCATTACAACTTATCATCCGATATGATGCGGAAACGCACTTGGTCTGTTTGAAAAAACGCGTTTCGGGTGGAAATCATAAAGACATGATGTGATTAGGTCATCCATAAAATACAGTGTCACCAGCTTAAGAGGTGCTCCAGGGTTATGTGTGTGAAATTACAGTGTATAAATACCGTTGATTTGATTATTACATACAATCTACAGTAAAGGGACGGAGTGCGTAACACATATAAAACTATCACTCTTAGATTATGACAGGGCAAAGTAACTTCGTGTCCATATTTTAGGCGTTTACAGAAGTGTACAAAAGAATTTTTGCTGCTCACTGTTTGTATGGTGGTCTGAGTCTAGTCTGCAAGTAATCTGGATACTACGGGAACATGTGTAACAGCATACACAAAGAAATTTGGAAAAGTGAAGAACAATTTAAATAAGAAAAGCGAGTTGACGATTCAGCAACCACATTTAATAAGGTAAGCAATAGACAGTAACAACATAGACCACAGAATAATAAAATATGGAGATGGGAAATGAGAGTAGATGGAGTAGGGTCTTAGATGAGCTACAATGCGTTATATCTGAACCTTGTCGTAAGGTCACAAAACAGCGTTCAAAAATTCTTAGGGACTTATCTAGGAAGAAGTAAAGTTATTGGACGAACAAGTCAGATTCAGGCTAGAAATCCATTTTCGCTATATAGCTGCAGTCATCTAATGACGAAAGCTCTAATAATTTAAATATAAAAGCTCGTTATTCATGTCACGCTTTTCACTAAATATAATTATATCTTTTTTAGTGATTAATCGTTTTATAACTAAATACTGTTTTCTCGTTAGCATCAGAGTATTCCAAGGCAGTACATATACCTGACTTCCGCCTCTGTCATTATACTATACTTTCACCCATTTTAGTTGTGATTTATCTGCTTTGCAAAACTAGGATGCTGTTTTTGGGCGGCAGACTTGTATTCTTCGGATGACCTCCAGTCAACCTTGAGGACCTATAAACGGTCTACCGATCGTCATGAAAGTGGTTTTGCAACCGACTGAGCTGATTGGTACTGGCTTTGTTTAGTTGTTAATGGTGCTGTTAGTTCTCGTCCGTGCAATAAATTCACTTGGAAAACTAGGACATGAGGTTTACTTTGAATGCGGCACAGATGATGTGAGTAAATGTAGTTGGTTTGCTTATGATATTGTAGTTAAAGATCAAAACAGTCAACGCCACGAGGTCTTCTTTTGCTTCAGTTCATTTTAGGGAAGTGTTTTTCGACAAGTTCTCAAGCCCTTTACCTAGCGGGTCTGTGCAACGTTTTAAAATCCCTAGTAGTGTATGGTGTATTATTCTCTGTAATTTCCATAGTCATGTTCTAACGTCTTCAAACTTTCTTCCGCAATGGAGAGATCCGTTCTTAAATGCAAGATGTTCTTATCATCCCAGGATACTGTTCTGACTGTTCAATACTTCTGTAAATTCGGAATCGTTAAGACGTATAACATGTCAATCATCGATTGTGAACAGTTAGAAGCTGTTTACTCATTAGAAGAAAGCGCTAATCATTTGGTTATATCAGCACGGTATGTTGCCTGTCTTTTTATGTCCTTAGTTTACTGGGAGAAATTATCAACAATTTTCGCCAGTCTTCTGAAGAGCTAACAATTCTTTTAGATTCGGGGGAATGCACTTTTCAGAATCACACATTTGAAACAGGTTTTAATCAGCCAACTAATTTTCTTATTATTTCTAGGTCCCTCTATGATAACAACACAAATTCCTTTGAATGCTACTGAATTTGACGTCTACCGTGTCCATTCAAAATGTGAAGTCACATTCTGCCAAAAGGAATTACGGGTAATGGTGTCATGTACCTCGAAAATTGTTTACATTTAAAACGTTGACAATGCTATGCATTTAATAAACATCGGGGTGACAAAATTTATCGTAGTTAGGCCCATCATTTCATGAAAGCATGTCGTATTAGTTGCGTTGCTATTGCTTTGTAATTTCATACGCAATTGAAATTTTAGAATAATTTTGATAGTGATACCGAATTTTGCTACGTATGAAAAATCAAAATTCTTTAGCGACAAAAACTAGTAAGTAAAGTATTTTTGATAGTAAACAGGATCGTTCTTACCAAAGGATTTGTTATGAGCTGCATATAGTAGATAACACTATTATTTGATAACACAAACCGTTTTTCACATAATTCGTCTTGGGTAATTGAATGATATTAACTCCCAAATACTTAGTGTCTGTGAGTCAATCATACTAAATACTCCTCACCACTATACACGGGTAGCATCCCGAAACTATTTACAACCGATTATTTGTATCAATGTTATTTCTGCTGTCTTTCGTAACTATGTTTAGAGATAATTAGTGCTCTTTGTACTCATCCTTTGATGTATACTCAACTAATTCACTACCATGACAACATATCTGTGATATTCAAAATAATTATTTCGTATTGTTTTGATTGTCTCGTTTTCATAATCGGATTTAGTTCTAGTCTTTTTAATGACACGGGTGTAAGTACATATTATTGCTGTTGATAAAGTGTCCGTTAGTATTTATAAGCATAATGTAGTTGGGAACTGATTTGCTAACTAACAGTAGGGTTAGGGTAGATTAACGCATCGGTTTTTCTGGCTAGAAATTTCTGACAACTGGTAATACGAATGCGACAGATCTATATTTAAGGTATGGTGCGTAAACTTTTTTTATTTGAATTCAAATAAAAAGCTTCCCCTTAATGACTGTAGTCTTTCGGACTTATTGAGTCTTTTAATGTAGTTATGTAACAGTTATCCCAAAATAACTATTCGTCGCCACTTCTGGGATAAATATTTTTTCTTCATTCACGAGTTAGTGGCTACCAGTATATATGAGAAATTCCTATTCAGTTGTCATTTTAAATTAAATGTGTTTATGTACGTGCATATCACCAACTCATCAAAATGGCATATGTTTCGGCGTACATTTACAAGATTATGTATTCCTTATGATAAGTGTCTGGTGGTGTCAAATTTTAAATTATTTTTCGAATTTATCGTGTGTAAATGTTTTTTTTTAGGTCATTTTATCATTCTGTGAGTTGATTTCTCCTATGATAAGAATTTATTGTGATCGACCGGGCAAACCTATAATTTTTGCTTGTACTCACGAGACAAGACTCAGTGCTCGGTACGTATTTGCGACATTCCCTTCAGATGGATCTTCACTTCCAAATTCCCAGCGCTCTGAGTGTAGCCGTCGTTTGTCATCAAGCAGAACTCCTGTTCCACTACAACATATAAGTACTTTATCGACGGGCGAAAAGTAATTTTCGTTGTTTATAGTGCTACGTATGATTTTTTAAATATAAACTTTGTGAGATACATTACCTAAAATCACACACAACTTGGACCGATAGCTGACTGACATCTGTCACAAGCTGATAAACTTACCGAGTGTTGTAAGCTATTTTGACACAGGAAGTTTATATTATTTAAAATATTTCCGACACCTTTCGTCATTGTGATGGAGTTTGTATAACCATAATAACCTATCTATGCCATTCTAGCTGACATTTGTTATTAGTCCTAAATTTTTAAAAATATTGATCGGATAATATTAAGACCAGCAGGAGCAACCAATCTGCATATACGTACAAAAATATACGTTGAAATTAAAGTAGTGAGCATATAAACTTTTCATTAAACCAAAAGTCTACCACCCATTCAGATAGTAGTATTAGTTTGATCGTTTGCCTCCGGTAAATTAACGAGCTAGACACGGATATAAGAAAACGATCCAAAATTATCAGTAAACATTATGTTAATAGCCATAAAAACAGAGAGATTGAAACCTTTTCTTTATACGAGAAAGGAACCGCTGATTAACTTTTGGTTGGTAACTGAAGTTAACAGCATAAGTAGCTTCACTTCTGTTAACTATGATTGCAACTCCTTAGATTGAACTCAAAAATTACCAGCGTTAGTTCACGTCAGTTTTTTAAATCTACCGTACTTAACTGTTATGAGATGTTCACTTTAAGCAGATAGCTTTTTCACAAGTAGGTTCCGCATACAACATTGCCCATTGTTGACAAGATCTCGTTATGTCTAGGACTGTGTGGAAGAGTGAAAAAAGTACAGCTTATTAATGCTGCCTTTGTTTTCAGATTTGTATTTCCTCATATACCACTATAATTGATGAGCAGATGTTTTTCATAGCCTTCAAAGTGATGATACTGTCCTGGTGAATAAAGAAAGTAATCCAAATGTTTTATCATCCAGATGTATGTTATCTCAAGAAAATGACCATGACACTCAAATCTTACGGTCGGACGGAAAGTTGTCTTTTATAAATAACGAAAATAATGCTCCAAAAGTAAACCAACCAGTGAGTTTTCGTATTTTTGTTTTGGTAATTACAGCCCGTTTATTGTCTAGAGAGATTGAAACATTTACTTTTACTCTACCGAAGGTTTTTGTAGGTGTTAGCTCTGGGATTTATCGGTACATAATTGTGTGTCAGGAACACATTAACCTATTTTTGTGTAATTGTTTTCAGTTGTAAACTACTACTTTATTAACTAAAATGGAGACAGTTATATTAAAGGTTGTATTCAGGTTTCAATAAATGCTTGCTCATGAATAGCATAATATGTGATATTCATATATCAAGTATTATTTATTTATTTATTTGAACACATAAATATTGATACAAAAGGGGCACCGAATACATATGCGCCACACAAGTCACTTGACTTGTATGAGGACTGTGATACTGCTCGGGTGCCCAAACCGAAGCGGGCGGTTTTCTTAGGGGGCCACACCCAGAGCCTTCGACCTAAGGGTCCGATCCAAAGGGCAGTGGAGCATCGTAAGGAGATGCAGTCCCATGGTAGCCGGTGACAAACGATTGATTCATACGCTATCTGTTCCTTCAGGCCCCTGAGGTCCATGTGCACCGTTGATCTGGAACCAGGGTTTTCCAACTCCCCTAGGTGGGTCCTCCGTGTCCACCAACCTGGTTAAAGCACCGAATATTCGCTTTTCATCCTCTCAATTCTGTAAACAACACCCCCGCCACGAGAAGGCAGGGAGTAGGACCTCCATGGCAGTGGCGTGGTCATGCGAGAGCATTTCTAGGAGGAGAACTGACTCTCCCCGCCCTCGACCGTACCAGGGCATCACCCAGGGTCGGTCGTTTTCTAATGAAAGTAAGGTCCGTTCAGTGATCATATTTTTCGTAAACGCTGAAGTGGTTTCAGTCAGCTAAGTCAGCCGTAAACAATTTAAGACGCGACGTGAATATGTATCGATCCAGGTTAACATCCTATAACAGCATAACGACGATGGAAGTTTACAAGGTGACTTACCATGGGTTAGGAGTTATGCTATCGGTTGCAATAAAAAATCAAGTATGGAAAGAATAAATCATCTTAAAATCAAAAATATAAAATAACGCGATTTTAAAATGTAGAGGAAGATAATAAATGGATCCAACTGAAGCACCAATCCATCTTTATTTGTTATCCAAGGTCTCCAACTATGGATTATTATTGTCACATGGTTCCAAACAAGAAAGTGTGAATTTAAGTACAGGGCTTAAACCAGCAGTCTCTCACTTCATAAGCTTTTGGTATGATTCGGTCTGACTATTCCTGGATTGTCAACATGTTCCTATGCTAAAACTAGGGCATCAAAGTTGGTGTTAGCTCCGTATATGTACTATATATTTCGACCACTTCAGTCAACGGAAGTTTATGACTTGATCGGTTGATTTTTATTTTTGCATTTTAAAACCATACTCACTTCGTACAACTTCCTCTTCGGATCCAAAATGTTTAGCGCTACGACTACGTTAAGTGATAATAAATAGCTTTCAAAACTGAGGTAGTAAAATGATGTTCAAACCCTCTGGTTGGTGGTTAAAAGTTCGAATGCCTTAGTTTTTAATTTAACTCCCCTATGTGTGTACAGCGGCTAGGTGTTTATATGAAGCTTTATGATAAAAATGACGCTAATTGACTAACTAAGTTGGTTAGATATTTTGAGTGTGGTTTGCATTTTGTTCCCGTTTTTCGGTGATATTTACATATCACCTCACCATAGTAACTTTAGGGATTGCTTTCATGTTTTTTATTTCTAAATTAAGTGATCATTTGTAACGTTTCCAATTTATAGGTGCTTAATCCACACCAGGATCACGGCCGTTGTGACGAAATCCCTTCTAAAAAGGTATGCTGGTTGTGCATATAACGGATAATAAAGTGGCTAGTAATAATCACGTAGTTTATAAATATGATTACTTAGTTCGTAGCAGGGGAGAGCCTTTTAAATTGCTGCAGAAATGAGGAGATACAACCTAGAGGTGCTTGGGATCAGTGAAACACATTGGACGCAAGTTGGACAACAACGACTAGCTTCAGGGGAGCTTCTGTTATACTCCGGCCATGAAGAAGAAAATGCTGCACATACACAAGGAGTTGCATTGATGCTGTCCAAACAAGCACAAAATGCACTTATAGGATGGGAATCTCATGGACCAAGGATCTTTAAAGCCTCCTTCAAAACAAAGAAAGAGGGCATTTCAATGAACATCATCCAATGCTATGCGCCTACCAACGACTACAATGAAGACGCTAAAGATCAATTCTACAATAGGCTGTAGTAAATCACCGAGAAGTGCCCAACAAAGGACCTGACCATTCTGATGGGAGATTTCAATGCCAAGGTTGGGACGGACAACACTGGATATGAAGACATCATGGGACGACACGGACTTTGAGAAAGGAACGAAAATGGTGAGAGATTTGCAAACCTATATGCCTTCAATAAACTGGTCATAGGCGGCACTGTATTCCCACATAAACGCTTACACAAAACCACATGGACTTCACCGGATCACACTACACAAAAACAAATCGACCATATTTGCATCAACAAAATGTTCAGGGGGACTATAGAGGACGTGAGAACCAAGAGAGGAGCTGATATAGCATCAGATCATCACTTGCTGATCGCCAAAATGAAATTGAAACTCAAGAAGCACTGCACAACGGGGCGGACAACATCACAAAAGTTCAATACGACCTTTCTCCAGGATACTAACAAACTCAACAAATTCAAGGTAGTTCTCAGCAATAGGTTCCAGGCCTTTCATGATGTACCCAATGGAGAAGGAACTACTGTGGAGAGCAACTGGAAGGGGATCAAAGAGGCAATCACTTCAACATGTCATGAGGTCCTGGTTCATAAGAAGGACCATCATAAGGAATAAATCACTGTTGATACACTGGATAAGATTCAAGAAAGGAGGAACAAGAAGGTAGCAACCAATACCAGCCGAACAAGAGCAGAAAAAGCCAAGGTACAAACTAAATACACCGAATTAAACAAGCAAGTGAAGAGGAGCATCAGGACTGACAGACGTAAGTATGTGGAAGATTTAGCAGTGACGGTGGAAAAGGCTGAAAGAGAAGGAGATATGAGACAACTGTATGACACGACAAAGAAACTCTCTGGAAATCGCCACAAACCAGAACGAAAAGTGAAAAGCAAAGAAGGCGAGGTAATCACCAACATTGAAGAGCAACGAAACAGGTGGGTAAAACACTTCAAAGAACTCTTGAATCGACCAGTTCCACTGAACCCACCCAACATCGAAGCAGCACCCACGGACCTCCCAATCAGGCAAGGTTGCTTACTCTCACCCTTTCTCTTTCTCCTGGTGATCGGCTGGATCATGAAGACATCAACATCTGAAAGGAAACTCGGGATACAGTGGACATCTAGGCTGCAGCTGGACGATCTAGACTTCTCAGGTGATCTGGTCTTCCTATCGCAATCGCAACGACAAATGCAAGAGAAGAAGACCAGTGTAGCAGTAGCCTCAGCATCAGTAGGTCTGAATATACACAAAGGGAAAAGCAAGATTCTCCGATACAACACAGCATGCACCAATCCAGTCACAATTGAAGGAGATTTGGAAGATGTAAGAACCTTTACATATTTAGGCAGCATCATTGATGAACATGGTGGATCTGGTGCAGATGTGAAGGCGGATCGGTAAGGCAAGAGCAGCATATTTACAACTGAAGAACATCTGGAACTCAAAGCAACTGTCAACCAACACCAAGGTCAGGATTTTCAATACAAATGTCAAGACAGTTCTACTGTATGGGGTGGAAACCTGGAGAACTACGAAAGCCATCATCCAGAAAATACAGGTGTTTATTAACAGTCGTCTACGCAAAATACTTTAGATCCGTTGGCCGGACACTATTAGCAACAACGTACTGTGGGCAAGAACAAACCAAATCCCAGCGGAGGAAGAAATCAGGAAGAAGCGCTGGAAATGGATAGGACACACATTGAGGAATGCACCCAACTGCGTCACGAGACAAACCCTCACATGGAATCCTAAAGGCCAAAGGAAAAGAGGAAGACCAAAGAACACATTACGCCGAGAAATGGAAATAGATATGAGCGAAATGAACAATAATTGGATGGAACTAGAAAAGAAGGCCCAGGACAGAGTGGGATAGAGAATGCTGGTCTGTGGTCTATGCTCCATTGGGAGTAAAAGGAGTAAGTAAGTAAGTAAGTAAGTAAGTTGGTAGCAGAATTGACAATATCGTTTAATAGTTCGAATTACGATATCGTGGGTGAAACAGATATTACCAGTGGCGATGGATGATGATCACACAATATCACACATGGAATGAATTTAGACATGTGGACCATTGGACGACAGTTTGGTAGTCTTAAGGTTAAGCACTCGCCCCGGGCATAAAGATCGTATCTTCGATTTCTGGTTGGGGTCTTGAATCCGCACTGCCGGGAATCCACGTACTATCATGAGACAACTGTTCAGTGGTTCCTGGTTCCTGATGGTTTGTCAGTTCGTGTTGTAAAACTATAAAGTCAATAATCTTTACAAATCCTTCTGTATAAAAGTTTGATTAATTTTCAAGATAATGGCCATTAATTGAATATTTATATGTATATCACTACCTCACTAAGGGTGATAGCTATTCATTTCTATTTTTACTCAGTCTAATTTCAATTTCTCGCATTAAAGTGTATCTAGGCAAATATTTTCATAGGAACTAAGAAATATTAGGAAATCATAAAACTATTCGAAGTCGATTGGTGTAATAATCAACTTCAATTGTTTGAAAACTATGACTGACGAATCCATTTAGAGCAAAAGTGTAAAAATACTTATTTAGATATTGAATCTATCGTCAATTAGTGGCAATTGTTAACTTGTATTGAATAAGAAATGCCTTGTATGTGTGTTGCACATATGCATCGGGTACATAGAATAAATGAAATGAAATAAAGCCGAAATCGATCCGACAAAACAAAGCAATGACACATGTATGAAGTTATCGTTTTATTCATATTGAAACTTATGATCTTGTCTCCTCGCACTCCAATGACAGAAGATCAGACGATGGATAATGTTGTAGCATTTAGTAATATTTCATGCCTACTTGAATTATTCTAGCTTTTGAACATTTAGCTTTGGAATATTTAGTCTTCAGTCGTCGGTAATAAGGACCTGTGTTAACCCTTGCAGCTTGTTTTACAGTGAAGGTCAAGCTTCTTAAAAATGTTCACCAATTGGACTGATACCATTTGTTCGAGTAACGCGTTCTAGTCATTGACTACTCGATGAGAAAAGCGGAATCCCACTCTGGGTTTATGAGATCGTGGTTTTTGAACCTTCTTACTATAGTCTCGGAGGTGATCAGCTCTAGAGAGCGCAAGATAATAAGACATATTAACTCCCAAATGGTTATTAAAGATACGGAATGCCAATATAAGGTCACGTCGCGTTCTACGATACGATAAGGAAGAGGTTCAGGCGTTTTAAGCGCTCATCGTAAGGGAGTTTGGGAAGGCCCTTCACTAACCTTGGTCCAACATGCTCGAGTGTGTCAGTATCCTTAATAAGACATGGACCGGCTGCTTGGACACAGTACTATAGGTGTGGTCTTACATATGTGGGATATAAAATCCAAAACATTTCGTCAAAGTATTTGAATGCTCGGCGAAGTGGCCATAACGCTTGAAAATATAGGGATAACTATAGCATCTTTCCAATCCCCATGAAATTGAGTGTAGGGAAGGGACATGTTGAACAGAATCGTGAGTGGTCCTGAAATAGTATCCACAAGAGATGACAGTAATCGTGGATGTAACCAATCAACACCCAGTGTCTTACTAGGTCTGAGGCTAATGATCAGTTGAAGAATTGCTTCCTCAGTCATATGTACAGGTCCTATAGCTGGTATCTCAGTGGTGTGGTTATGATAAATATTGTTAACAATACCCATATAGTAGACTTCGCTTAAATAGTTTGATAAACTCGCAGATTTGGCCAGATCTGATTCAGCTGGTATATCTAAATTTCCGTGTAACAATAATTGAGAGATACTATCACTACGTCTTTTTCTTCGTCTAATGTACGAAAACAATCGTTTTTGGCAGGTACGGCTATCATATGTCAACTGTCTTTCGTAAGTGGCGCAGTATCTAGCTCATGATCTTTCTATATATATATTCCAGATCTTTCTATGTTCGCACTTAAATGATTTTTGGCCTGTTGACCAGTACGAGTTCTAGAAGCGTTTCCTTCACCTCATCAGCTTTTGGGTTTCCTTATGGGTCCATAGAGGTCAATGTAGTAGGCTACTTGTTGATCATAAGATGAGCAGTAATGTTACGGACTCAAATGTGGCTTTAAACTCATTCCATTCGTCTTTAATCGTCCCATCTGCATTCATCGACCAATCATTTGGGATAGCACAGTCTCTGATTGCCGGAATGTTAGCCCGCCAGGTATTAGTACGGGATCAAACAGATACGTATTGTGTGCCTGAAATCTAAAGTAGGGTACAACATGATCACTGTTTGCTAGTGGGGCTAGGTGTTGAATGCCAGTGACATCATCACAGTGGTGTGTAAATACGCGATTCAGCAATGACGGTTTGTGTTACACGTTATTATGTGTCGGTTTTGCGATATATTGTAAAAGTGAGCACCGAATAATGGTTGACACCAGGCTGTTGTCAAAACATCCACTTGAATTTGTAAGCTTTATCCATTTGATACACGGCGCGTTGAAATCTCCAACAATGAAACAATAATCAGCCTTATTCCAAGAACAAATATGACTTAAGACAAAGTTGTCAGCAAGATAACGTGAACTACGGTATATTTCTCCTACAGTCACTGACCCGTGTCTAGATTTAGTTGTACATCAAGCTACCTCACATGTACCACTATCATGCGTCTCTGATGTGCTCGAGTGTACACGAAAGTGGTCTCTAATAATATTATACCTCCTCCCTTTTAGTTTATAACTCTATCACTTCTAATGCTGACATATCTTGCAATGATTAGAGAACGGTTGACATCTACAATGAGCCACGTTTCTGTGACAACAATTATATCGGCACTTAGTTCATCTATCATCAAGCTTAGCTCAGACGTTTTATTTTTAATTTATTCTTTTTGTGCCACTTTCTATACATAAGTTTGATCTTGTTGGTTCGCTTGTAACATTGACCATTTTTATATGAGCGTATTCGTGTTTGCCTACCTCTCTTTGACCTGCTTCTTCTGTTTGACTTTAAACTCTGAGTCGCGATTCCTATCTCCGATCCAGCTTCTTTTCTTTTATTGTCTTTCTGCGTTAACGGATATATAAAGCATATTTAACCAAGAACCACTGCCGTAATTTGACTTGTTTTATTCCGTTATTCACTAAAGTGAATTAAGACAATGAACATATACGAGTGTAAGTAGGATATGTATTTCTTTAGCATCATCATTCCATAAAAATGGAGTCAGGAAAGGGGTATGTAACGTCTTAGGTCCCGATGCATTAACTAGTTCTAAATTTGAGAAATTATACCATTCTAAACCTTATTCATCGGATTCTTATACCTTTATGGTGTACTGCTATATCTAAATTTAGTCTTTCATTCTTTTTATTTATAAATTTCAACTGATACACTATTATGTTATCAGGTTCTATATTATGTTTTAGTTAGTGATCTAAAGATTATGTTTTTGTTAATAGCTGTATTGTGTATACTTACTATAATTACAACTTCCCTAGTAATACTTCATTTGCCGTTATTTTTCAGATTCGTTCTCTCCTTTTTTCGAATTTCCAAACTAAAGATAATTCCAGTGTATGTAATTTAAAAGACAACACAAAAACAGTTGTGCTATATCAAAATAGTTTATGGGATGGAACGGCATTGAAAGAAAATGTTCTAAGTTCAACAGTTATGAATCAGGAATCTACATTAGGCGGACAGACTGTACTTGTTGCTGATTCAGACGATGACGAATAATGTACTATTTCCTGTGATAACATATTATCCCACCATGTATAGATCTTTATTTTAATATACATCAACCTAATGAAGTTATTTTGCGTAGATTAACAATGGATTTCAACAAATCTTCTATTACATATCGCTTATACAGATTGAAAAAATAGACAAGTATTTTCTCTTGAAATATACGTATCTTTTCAGTGACACGGCTGTGTACTTTTAAATTCTGTGTATAGGCAATTTATTCCCTCAAAACATGCATATCATAAAAAACTTATCAACACCTTTGGTTCATGTCGTTCAATCGGAAGAGCTTAATGGTTCGTCATAATTGTTTCACTATGCAACAATGTAAATAAGAATGAAAGTCCTAGAAATTTCTAAGTTCCAAGTCTTCCATCGATGCTATTCTAAGCTTCTAATAGGCGTCAACCTTTTTAAATTTTCACACAGCTCTTTCAGATAGATGATATTAAGTAAAAAACTCAGACCCAAGACTTCTCAATCTCATTTTCAAACACCAGATACAAGTAAAGAAGAAAATATTAAGTGTAAATAGTCATGTTATGTCTTATAACCGTTGACTAATGCTGCGTTTCAGGTCACCAATCAGAATCCTAATTCTAATTTGGTTTATTTCGCATCTACTGTTTGCTTGATAATCTAATGATTCAATTTTCTCAGTTAGATTAACTGATATCATAGCTAGAATCTGGGAACTGGACATAAATCTATCTGACTGGTCTCGATTGCTGATTGTTCCAGTCTATGACAAAGGACAAAAATCATCTTGTGACGATCAGAGGAATCACTTTAAATATTATAGCGTCCAAAATATTATCCTCAATAATACTTTGAAATTTAACTAGAGCATGTGGAGTGCAAACTCTGGAAAACCAAGCTGTATGAACCAAACATTCACTCTTCGGTAGGCTCTGAAACAAACATACTTTTTGACGTCCGACTATAGTTGTGTTTCTTAACCTTGAGGCGGCGCCCGGCTCTGTTGATCGTGACGTTCTGTGGCAGTATCGGCTATTGAAAGGTATACCAAAAAGTACATTAACCTTGCACAGGCTCTCTATGCAAACACTACTGGTCGAGTCAGAGCTTATGGTTAACTATCGTCGGAATTGGTTACTTCAACTGGTTTTCGTAAGGGTTGTCTGCCTTGGTGATTTTTATTTAACTTTCTTAGACATCTTTTTATAGATAAAACTTTCAACGCCTGACTTTTCAGGAATTGATCTAATGAGAGATCCACTTGTTGATTTAGAATATGCGGACGATATATTCCCTTTTGGTGAAGACCTTGACAAAATACAGTCTTCTGACCACATTAAGGAACAATGCGAGCATGTTTGGTATGGGCTTCTGTCCTTCCAAATATGAAATGTTATTTCAGAGTAGGCTCGCATCAGTACCTGAATTAATGAGAGGGAATGAAGCTTGTGGACGCATTGACCGCTTCATTTATCTTAGGAGTCTGATCAGTCCTCATGGTTTGGTGTCTGACTAGATCTCGGCGCAGATTAAAAAGGCTCAATTGGCTTTTGCCAACTTGCTTCACTTATGGAGTAGGCGAGAGAACAAAACTCCACCAAAATCATCCACCTGAGCTACAAATCTTCTCCACCATATCGAGATAACCATCTTCCAACCAAACGGTGAGTTTACTGTACAACAGTTCTCTCTGTTCTACTTTACAAGTGAGAAACAAGACTTTTAAGAATGGTATATATATATAGCAATCTAGTTACTCAGTAATAATACAACAAAATTATATTTAGTAGTAATTCGGAAAATTTTTACATCATTCGTTCCGTTAGAACAAAACAGTTTCTGGAAAGTGGATTGTTCCGAAAGTTTTTGAAACGTTTCCTGAAACGGAGTGCAAATCAACAATCCTTTATACAGTAGACTTTTTTTAAGAGCGCTAAATCGCGTCTTATCTGATGAAAACTGGTCGTTCATTTCATTTGTTTAACAGTCAATGAATAACTTTAGTATTAGTTGACTAACAGTTTTTTCACGCATAACTAACGAAATCTATGGTGGTCATAATTCGACAAACATTTTACTTTTGATAATGATTATCATGCCCAACAGCTTGATAAGAATTATCAGCACACTACTATCCTGAATTTCCCGATTTCAATATTTACAGCCAAATCTTTCAAACGATGATTGAAGGAGTGATATTTTAACAGTATGTACAAACAACAATTAATGCTAGACACAATTGAAAATTTTAAGCAAAGATGGATAGTGGCTAGCAGTGGAATCCAAGACGCGCGTTTCGTCCACTGCTAGCCACTATCCATCTTTGCTTAAAATGCTTGCAAATTAAGGCAATATCGAGACATACGCACAGTATGCACATATGCCAATAAGCGACTGATCAATTTCAGTCCTAAAACACCAATGGGAAGATTCAAGTAAAACAATATCAAATGAATTACAATTGAAAATGTTTAGGAGAGATCAGAAACCTGGTTTATATTTGGTTTATGAATATTTTAATGTGAGGAATTCACTGAACACCACAAAACATTTTAGAGAAATCTCTAGATTTCATCCATTTATTCATTCCGTCGAATAGATCTTTTATGCAACTACTAAATTTATTGAGATCATAGTGTACTATTTATGATAGATGGTTGGAGAACAATCTAACTATAGACTTAGTTTTCATGCATTCTTTTGTAAGGTGTATCTGCAATTTTGATTCACATAAATGTTTGTACTATTTTTATGAGTAAGAAGGAAATAAACATAGTTGCACGGTCATCAATATATGAGTATAAGTTATACTAGAAATAATTCTAGATCAAAAGAGCTTCACGAATGCATCAATTATCAATTTTTTCTTCATTTCAACAGAATAGACATGAACGCGCATATGAATTTCTACTGAAGGGAGGGATTTTCAAAAGAAAAAACAGTTTAAAACGAAATGTAGATCAAATAGAATTTATTTATTTTTATTAAAATTCAAAGAAGAAAAAAAACTATAACAGAAATAATAATGAAAAATATTTTAAATCACATAAGTTTTCTGAACAAATAATTGAATTGGAACATTGAACTATGTTTATTTCTGAAGTGTATTATTATAGTGATTCAGGAAGTGGAGTCTTTCTTCTTCTTCTTTTTCGTCTATAAAATTTTCATTCTTATAAAATGAAGCAGTATGAAACAATTCGATTGAATAATTTTTGTAGTATTTATACATATATCTGGGATTGTGTATAATAATGTTTACGGGAAATCATTCAGATTATAGAGAATGTAATGAATTATAGTTTTGGTTATTTTTGTTTTGTCAATGTAATCATTCAGTTTTTTGTTGTTGTTGTATTTTTATATAGAATTCAATGTTTCAAAAGATCATGTACATTTGATGATGTTATTGGATTACGTTTTTTATAACTTATAAGGATATGTATACATATCAATTTATTTACAGAATTTAAGTAGTATATATCAGATAATCATGCAGAATGAGGATATCAAAAAATGGATATAAACTATATAATAACCATTTTTTGTTCACGTTCTAGTCATTTATACAATATTATAGATGAATTGAAGTAGAATAATGATGGATATAAGGTTTATATTCTTTTCATGAACAGACTGATAATTGCGCAGTGCATTATTCTTGTCTATATGACGGAAAAATGTAGAAAATATATAAATGAGTTGTCTTCAACTAAATACGAAGATTTCGCGATGTGTTTTTACTTTTAAAGAAGAAATATGTTTTTTTCTAACCTTAAATTACTGGAAAAGATGGAATTATTCACTTGTCTATTGTGTATCAACACTTCAAGTAACTAAGTATTTTTATTATTTTCACATCCGTTTGTTTTTACTTAATCCATATTACGCTAGTATTCTGTGGTTTGTAGAGTACTAGTATTTATCCGAAATGAGATTTGCAGAAAGTGAGTACTTTTTAACTCCACCTGGAGCCCTTCTATCGTTACTGCCGGTCACAGGCTTGGATAAAGGAGGTTTCTCCATGAACTTAGCAACCTCATCTCGTAGAGAAATGTCCAGGAAAGGGACTGACCAAAGTTGTAATGGCCAGCATCGAGTATGGAAATATCATTGGACGACATGGACTAAGAGAAAGAAACTAGAATGGCGATAGGCCTAATACGCTGAAGCAAACAAGCAAGTAAAGAGGAGCATTAGTACCAACAAGTGGAAATATATGGAAGATCTAGAAGCGATAGCGGATAAGGTTGCAGGAGAAGGAAATGTGAAACAACTATGTGACAAAACGAAGAAACTATCAGGGAAATATCGTAAACCAGAGCGATCACTCAAGAACAAGCAAGGAAGTCAATGGGATTCAAGAACAGAGACACAGATGAGTACAGCAACTTGAAGAGCTCTTGTAAAGATCAATCCCACTGAACAAACTGGATGTCGAAGCAGCACCTGCGGACCTCCTTACAGAAGTTACCTCACCAACAATCAAACAAATCAGTGTGGTCACCAAATAAATCGAGAGTTGGAAATTGATAAAACCAAACAATGTACCTGGTGATGCACTGAAGTCAGACATGGAATTAACTGCAAGCATGCTTTATGATCTCTTCAGAAAGATTTGAGAGGAAGTACCAATAGACTGCAGAGAGAGATACCATCAAAATAATAAATAAGGGAGATGTCAGCGTGTGTGAAAACTATAGAAGAATCAAAATATCATTAGTAACAATAAATGTTCTCAACGGTATTACTGCACCGGATGAAAGATTCAGTAGGCGCCCAACTTCGAAATCAACAGACCGGATTCCGTAAGGATTGATAGTATACTGACCAAATCACGACACTAAGGATTATTCTTGAGCAATCAATTGAATGGAATTCGTCAGTATACACCAACTACTACTGCTATTGAAGAACACATGAAACTAGAAACAACTGACAGTCAATATCAAAGTCAGAATCTTCAATACGAACGTCAAGACAGTTCTAATGTACGGAGTTGAAAATTGGAC